GCAGATATAAATCTATTTTAATTAAATATGCGACTTTCCCCAAATGCTTATATCAAGATTAGCTGGATTAAGCCAAACACGTGATCTGAAATATATTTTGTCAGTTCAGGTTTCCATATTTCTATTTTTAGAGCATAGGAAAGGGCGTAAAAGTGTTAATTTAATTTGTGGCATATAGATGATTTAAATAGAACGCTAATGGCGGAAAGTTTCGACTTTTAAACTTTATTAACAATGAATTGAGCTTAAACGACAACTATTCCTATGATGGCAAATAGTTGCGTTCATGGAAGTTTAACGCAGATCGCCTAATCTAGGACTTTTAAACAGCCGTTTTTTGGCAATCCAAAGTGTGGTTAAATGAAAACAATATGCTAGTTCTTCCTATTATTATAAGAAACCTTATTTATTATAATTATTATAATAAATTGAAGTCAAATGGCGAGTAATAGACTTTCTGCCGTATGAATATACGTTGTCCAGGGTGCACCACGTAAATATAAGTCTGTGGCGCTTAAATTTATCATTTGACTTCAATTTATTATTATTATTTGTTTGTTTTTTTCCAAATTTGTTCTATTCAAAATTTATTTTATTGACGGTTCGCTATTTCGCATAAAAAATTTGAACTTTAGGTTTCTTCATAAATTGCTAAGCTAATTCAAACTTACGATGTCTTGGCGTTCATTGACAGGTTAATAAATTAAGATTGAGACTGCCTTTCCTCCAAAAGCACTTCTATGGGAATTACTGCGATATTAACCTTAAGATTCATTCATTTTAACCACACTACTTCTTGACACTCAAATTTTACCTGAACAACTATTTATCTCACTCTCTCTCCCCCTCCCTCTGTTTGCCGTAAACATGAGGTCTTGATTAAAACCAGCGTCTTGAATCCGAATGCTTACATACAAATTTGTGATGGAACGAAATTTCTCAATCAAGCGAATTGAAAACATTCTGATATTACCTGAATTCAGATTACATCATCCTGAGATTGTGAATTCAGGGTATTATAAAACAGCTTGCATTCTGACAACCATTCTTGCTGAACAGAATTTTCCAATAGGATTGGATCCATACATCAACTAATGTGAAATTTTCCAAAATGGGAGCCATATTTATTGCTCACTGTGTCACCTGTATCCCAAGCAAATATAGAAAATGTATTTATTTATAACAAATGACAGGCGTTTTGATAGTTATCATTAGCCCTTTAGTCGACTTCTGGCTTCACAGAGAGGAGGAGGAACATCAAAGTGAGAAGTATTCGGGAGGGGAACAGAAGAGTGATTCACAGGTGTAAAAGAAACAGACAGACACAAAGGCTCGGAGAGGGTAAGATGAGTACTGTGGTAGGGATCGAATATAACATACAGTGGGGGTGTTGGTAGTTTGAAGTGAGAAGTCAACTACCCGTTAATAGACTTTTGACAGTATGATCATACGTTGCCCAGGGTGCACCACGAGGAGGTAAGTCTATCCACACCCCATTTAGCAAATGTAAATTTTCCAATTTAATTCCAAAATTCAATATCGATTTAGTACCGCTTCCATAATGCAACTGTTTCTTTTATTTTCTGAACGAGGAAAAAGTTGATCCTCACTCGTTTGACAGCATTATTATATTATTCTATACTCATAATTATTCCACTTTTATTTGCTAAGATGTACAAGTAATTGGATTAAATTTCATCATTTTTTGCGTTTTATGAAGCGATTTGAGCGTTATTTGGATTCCACTAAAATTTAAACTAAGCTATCATAGAGCCAGATACAAAATGGTTATGATCTCGACTAAGAGTAAGTTCTTGCAATCGTTGAGTATAAAAAATTAGACTGTTTGAGGCGAAAGAAGAGAGCCCCTAGGGAATTTCTAATCAGTAGAGAATAGAGTCCCTAATAAACAATTTGCCCCAAAAATATCAATGACAACATAGCCCCCTTCAGGTATTCCTTCTTACGTCAATGGTACGTAAGGTTACTTTTGTGTTGCTGCAGTTTTTGACATAAATTCGATTCGTCTCATCTTCTCTGGACTATCATTTACTATAACTTACCAATTTTTGGCATTTTGCTATCAGAGTTATAAGTAAGATTTTGAGAAAAAATAATTCTTTTTTAAGTAATATAAAGAGCATTTTAATATTAAGATGATTAATTTGATTAATATGATTACTTTGTTGAGAGATAGCATGGATTTTTTATCATAATATATTCATTAGTAAGAATGTTTTTTTGCGGTGCTATAAAATCTCGAATTACTTGTCATTATAGTTAACAATCTGAAATTATCCAACAATAGATCTATAGACTTCAGATCATTTTTAATATAAATTATATATTTATTTTATTGCAAATGCAAAGAAAGATAAAATTTGCTTAAGACACAGCCGTTCACTTTTAATGAAACATCTTGGCTGATTTTCAAATGATAACTTGAAGATGTCATTACAAGGACAGTCCCATACGAAGCTGGGATATCATTTTATCCTTCATCACTAGACACCCACATTGTTATTTAATTTATCGAATTTTTTTAACTTAATTAAAAGTACCATCTTATTTCTCTTTTAACGCCGCAAACTATATTGCTGGGAGTAATTTTATCAACTTGAATACGATTTGGATAGTGGGACCTTAAGCTTTAAAAATAGCATGTGTTAGTGCGAAGCCATTTGTTGGTTCGTTTGTTGAATCCCTTTTGCTAAATCCAGAAACTTGGGTGACTGGCTATCCTCTCTGAGATAGACGCGATATGCAGCATGGGGGACTTTTGGACATTGTCTTAAATTCATTTGCTAATTTTAAAACGGTGATAACCTATTCAATGTCAGATAAGTCCTAAAGGAAACTGGGTAAAGGTAGATCAAGAACTCGGTTTCAAAGTACAATTTACTGCATTTAGTTGCATTTTCATAACCTCTATTTTGTAGGTCATTTTTAAAAGTCCCTTTATTGCCCCTCCTCAGACCAGTACTTAGCTTGTTGCATCGCTGACTTCCTGTTTTTTTTCTACTGGTGCCGCTTCTATTTTAGTCATAAAATGTAAATTAGACGAAAGACTTGGCCATGCAGAGATGACCCACTGAGGCTTCACACATCATCATCGATAATATTGTATTATAATTGAATAAATATGTGCCCAATCTAGATATCGACAGCAAAGTTGGGGGGATGGGTTACTTAGTTTATGGGCAAGAAATAAACTGAGGAGAAAGTTTCTCAGGGCAATATTTCAGTCCGCACAGATTGTTCTGCAACGCCGTAAACCCTGTTTTCAAAATAGCATGACTGAAAATTTTTATATTTACTTAGTGGGGTGTGTGATAGATGTATCTCCACTTGATGCACTCTGAGCAACGTATATACTTGCCTCAAAACATAAAAAAACCGGCAGTTGGCTTTAGACTTCAAACTAATATGACTCAACTGTATGTCATATTCCACCACTTCCACAGTACTCAGTGCACCTTTCTCTGCCTTTGTGTCTGTCTCTTTTACATCTGCGAATCACTGTTCAGTTCTCCCATTCCACTTTTTATGACTTTTTCGTTCCTTTCTCTATGAAACCCAAAGTCAACTAGAGGGCTTATGACAACTATCATAAAGCCAGCCATTTGATATAAAAAATAAAATTTAACTTAGTTCAATCCAAAAAGAATGGTTCGATTCGGAGATATATTTATATTGTGAATAGGAACGAAGGTCTACATATATGATATCGGCTGGCACATTTTATGGTAGCAGAGCTTCTTAGATTATGAGCAACCTGAACTCTAATAATTGAGCATAATCTTGCTCTAATCTCTCCATGAACGTAGATAAATCTACTCTCGATCAGTTAGAATTGAAAATAAAAGCGAGCATAATAATTCAACTATATTATGCGAGTTCAGTTCATATAGAAGGGCTAAAAATATCAACCCAATTAACCACCATCAATTAATTCATTAAAGTCAATTCAATATGTCATTTTGTTTAATTAGTTCCCAAATGAAATGTGACTGAATAAGAGTGACAGCTGCAGGTAAAAATACACCGATATTTACTTTCTTATAATTAGAGTCTCGCGTTCTATTTATTTAAAGGACTTAATCCATTCCAATAATGTAGGTCTGTTTACAGAAGGGAATCTACATCTTTCCACAACTTTTATGTATATTTATTAAAAAGATAGCAGTAAGCACGTAGGCCAGTTAGGACTAATTATGTAGTCTGAAAATAATTTGATTTCCAGCACATTTCTCGCGATTTTATTCTATTTATTACCTTAGCTATTGTGTCACATCACAAGGATTGACATATTCGTCAATATACTTTGCATTTATCGGATTTCAAATAACAATTTCTTAGCCAACTATGCACAGATTGTTTTTAAGCCTGATATACATGAGATTAAAATAATACTACTTAAAGTAGATTGTATAAGAAATTAAGTAATTTCCAAATGTATGATTTAAGGCACAATATTTCAGTGGTAGAAAAGAGTTGCTAAAGCTTCTTTTATAAATTGCTATTTTGCTGAGTAATTTGCCAAAATTAAGTCTGAAAATTTCAGCAATTTCGATGAGGAAATAGTGAAAGGTAGTCAGTTTGGGCCTAAATACAAATAAAATTACCACTCTAATGCTGGGTTACTTGAGATTGATCATAAAATCGTTTCATAATTACAAATTTTACTCTGACGCCATATACCATTCGAATACATAATAAAAATTTATTGAATAGGTTAAAACTTTCTTCTTTCAAGAAATAACTTAGAATCAATATTTTCTGTAATTAGGATTTCCATTTCCATTTAATCATTGTGTAATGATATCTGCGATTATATGGCACATGTAAAAAGATTTCGGAGACAATTTGTTCCAGATTTCATGAAAAATTTAGTAATACAATTTAAAAGTGATTATATTGAAATATATTATTAATCATGCTTTTTAGCTACTGAAATTCACAGTGCACATTTGAAACCCACGGCCTGTCCTATTGTGGCGATGGAATTACCTTGGGTGATCTTGCTAGCTTCAGTTTTATTTTCCAATGTGTTTGCCGTAAGCAAAAGTATTTAATAATTATCGAAATAGGACGACGATTTTTCGTCTTTGGATGTAGTAATTGAACACTCATTCGATGAAGGTAATTTCCATCGTTATCTAATTAGTAATGTGTTATGATGTTCATCATATTTACCACTAATAGGCTTTTGTATTTAATTTTATCTCTTTTACTCGTGTTTTGGCTTCTAGGAAAAACATTCAGGCCAAAGGGAATTATATCGTCTTGGTCAAGCGAAGGAACGACTCAGTTACTTAACGAGCCCCCGCTTACCAAAGAGGAACAGATGATGCTTGCGGTACGATTATCTTTATTTCTTATTAAATTTTTCCAGAAATTGGCTTTGAGTGACTCCTTGTATGTTATTCGTGCATACGCCAAACCAAATTCCTTCGTTCTAATGAGTTCTTGTCAAGCTGTAAGTTTGTTTCTCTGTAATACTTATCTCTGGATTTGGTGGTTTCTAATATTTTTATCTTATAGTCTCATTTAATGGCCTCTGATGGGAAACTTGCCTTAATTTTAAGCATAGACGCATCTGGTTCACCAATCGCAATTTCATCTGTTACTAGTAATCAGTCTTTCACTAAAGATCCTGGCTCCTTAACTTCTCCACCTCAGATTTCTACTACGGTTTCTTTCCAAAAACCCGCTCTCGCCATTGGGTTCGTTTGTTACTACTTGTTTACTCTTTCAATTTTTGGTATTTAAAGTTAAATTTGTTGTAGACCTGATACTCAAGAGTATCTTGCAAGGCTCGAAAAACAACGGGAGGAGAAGTTGCGTCAAGAGCAAAGTGACAATCGATCTTTCTTTTCAAAATATGTACGTGCTCTTTCCACTGGTCTCTTTTGGCTCGTTTATGTTTTGAATTCTAAAATCTTTTCTTATTTTCAGTGGATGTACATTGTTCCATTCGTCATTTTCGTCATGTTCTTAAAAGCTGGTGATCCAAACGCGGGTGGAGAATAAGTGTTTTCATTATTTTATTATTCAACTCTTTTGTACCTAGCCATCCATTACATGATTTAAAATTCATCTTGCTTACTTTGACATGTGTGTTAGAATTTGTTGTTTATCTGTTCTTTTTTTATAAAAAACAGAAAAGGTTTGAACATCATTTTCACACAATTTAACAAGCATTAATGGGGATAAGTTTAATACTTCTTTACTTTACTTCTCATTCGCACATAACCTTGTGAAATTGAGCGTGTTATTATTACCCGTAACATTTACCTTTATCCTCAAGAAGGACTCTTTTGGCTATAGTTCCTCATCAAACTTAAATTCTGCTTGATGGAGAAATAGCTCTTGTCCAATTCTTAAAACTTAGTATAGTTCGAATCGTTCTTGCGCGCATTAATGTCTTAGACGTTAGCTTTCAAATGAGTTTTTCCAAAGTTTATTCGGGTGGGCGGTTATTTGGGGTTGAAAGCTTTATTTATATCAAATGTCAGGCGTTTTGATGGTTATCATTAGCCCTTTAGTTGACTTCAGGCTTCACAGGGGAGAAGGAACATCAAAGTGAAAAAAAGTCGAGAGGAGGGGAACTGAAGAGTATTTCAAAGACGAAGGTTGAAAATTTAGAAAAAATGCGATGTAGTACTGTGGAAGTGGT